AAGAAAAAAAAAGAAAGGCCAAAAAAAGGAAGGCCCAAAATAAAAAATAAAATAAATAAAATAAATAAAAAGGGCAATGTTACTATCTCTTTTTCCACACTTGTGCTTCAAAGTAGCACCTTGTTCTTCATGTAGTGAGTCTCATATATTGTGCTTCAAAGTAGCACCATGTTTTTCATATAGTGAGTCTCGTAAGTTGTCTTTTTCATACTAGTGGGAATTTTTCATTATAGAACTTGGCTTGTATATTGCTACGATGGGCTTCCTCAAATGCCCTAGGTCTTCGTGAGCAAGCAAGTTGGATGCACACCCACTAGTTTTCTTTTGTTGAGCATTCATTTATAGCTCTAGTGCATCCGTTGCATGGCAATCCCTACTCCTCATGTTGACATCAATTGATGGGCATCTTCATAGCCCGTTGATTATCCTCGTCAATGTGAGACTTTCTCCTTTTTTGTCTTCTCCACACAATCCCCATCATCATATTCTATTCCACCCATGTGCTATATCCATGGATCACGCTCATGTATTGTGTGAAGGTTGAAAAAGTTTTAGATTATTTAAGTATGAAACAACTGCTTGGCTTGTCATCGGGGGTATAGAAGTTGGGAACATCTTTGTGTGACGAAAATGAAGCATAGCCTAACTATATGATTTTGTAGGGATGAACTTTCTTTTGACATGTTATTTTGAGAAGACATGATTACTTTGATTAGTATGCTTGAAGTGTTACTATTTCTTTTATCAATATGAACTTTTATTTTGAATCATTTGGATATGAACATTCATGCCACAATAAAGAAAATTACATTAAGAATTATGCTAGGTAGCATTCCACATCAAAAATTCTCTTTTTATCATTTACCTACTCGAGGACGAGCAGGAATTAAGCTTGGGGATGCTTGATACGTCTCCAACGTATCTATAATTTTTTATTGTTCCATGCTATTATATTACCCCTTTTGGATGTTTATGGGCTTTACTTTACACTTTTATATCATTTTTGGGACTAACCTACTAACCGGGGGCCCAGCCCGTTTTGCTGTTTTTTTTCCTATTTTAGTATTTCGAAGAAAAGGAATATCAAACAGAGTCCAAACGGAATGAAACCTTCGGGAGCGTGATTTTTGGAACGAACGTGATCCAGAGGACTTGGAGTGCAAGTCAAGAAGCAGCCGAGGCCTCCACGAGATAGGAGGGCGCCCCCCCCCTATAGGGTGCGCCCTCTATCTCGTGGGCCCCTCGGGCGACCACCGACGTACTTCTTCCTCCTATATAAGCCTACGTACCCCGAAAACATCAAGGGAGCCAACGAAACACAATTTCCACCTCCGTAACCTTCTGTATCCGCGAGATCTCATCTTGGAGCCTTCGTCGGCGCTCCACCAGAGGGGGAATCGACCATGGAGGGCTTCTACATCAACACCATAGCCACTCCGATGAGTTGTGAGTAGTTTACCACAGACCTACGGGTCCATAGTTATTAGCTAGATGGCTTCTTCTCTCTTTTTGGATCTCAATACAATGTTCTCCCCCTCTCTTGTGGAGATCTATTCGATGTAAACTCTTTTTGCGGTGTGTTTGTCGAGATCCGATGAATTGTGGGTTTATGATGAAGTTTATCTATGAATAATATTTGAATCTTCTCTGAATTCTTTTATGTATGATTGAGTTATCTTTGCAAGTCTCTTCGAATTATCAGTTTGGTTTGGCCTACTAGATTGATCTTTCTTGCCATGGGAGAAGTGCTTAGCTTTGGGTTAAATCTTGCAGTGTCCTTACCCAGTGACAGAAAGGGTTGCAAGGCACATATTGTATTGTTGCCATCAAGGATAAAAAGATGGGGTTGATATCATATTGCTTGAGTTTATACCTCTATATCATGTCATCTTGCTTAATGCGTTACTCTGTTCTTTATGAACTTAATACTCTAGATGCAGGCAGGAGTCGGTTGATGTGTGGAGTAATAGTAGTAGATGCAGGCAGGAGTCGGTCTACTTGTTGCGGACGTGATGCCTATATACATGATCATGCCTAGATAATCTTATAATTATTCGCTTTTCTATCAATTGCTCGACAGTAATTTGTTCACCCACTGTAATACTTATGCTATCTTGAGAGAAGCCACTAGTGAAACCTATGGCCCCCGAGTCTATCTCTTATCATATTTGCTTCCAATCTACTTTTATTTGCATCTTTACTTTTTGCATCTATATTATAAAATACCAAAAAAATATTTATCTTATCATACTATCTCTATTAGATTTCACTTTGGCAAGTGGCCGTGAAGGGATTGACAACCCTTTATTGCGTTGGTTGTGAGTTCTTTGTTTGTTTGTGTAGGTGCGTGGGACTTTTGAGGAGCCTCCTACTGGATTGATACCTTGGTTCTCAAAAACTGAGGGAAATACTTACGCTACTATTGCTGCATCACCCTTTCCTCTTCAAGGAAAACCAACGCAAGCTCAAGACGTAGCAATGTGTATCTCTTATTGCATCTATGGGTGTTGATTTGAGTGCTTACCTCATGTTTTCTCTCGATTCCCTCTGTATTATTCATGTCCTTCCTCTAGTCCACCTCCAATTCATGAAGATCGGGCAACTACAGGATTTGCCTCATATCACAAGGTCTCAAGTCATTATTTATATTTATGTTACCCATAGAGCAAATGTGATGATTTGATGATCAAAGGGATGATCATCAATTGGCTTGTCGAGATACTTGACCGGTCAAGGTGAGTATTTGATAGAATCTCGAGAGGGATATTTGACATCACGGGAAAAGGTCATGAGGTTCGGCTCCTCTCTCTCAACATAAGGTAGAACCTTGCAAGGTAAAGTGATAGAAGCATGTGTCTTGAGATCCATCTTGGTGAGGCATCCTCTCAAAGGATACTTTCCCGCATGGGTGCACTATACAACCTCTACGGGATCCAATTATTTGAAATAGCCGTTTCAATGCTATGGACAGGATCGGGATTAGTGACACTTATGGTCTAAGCCAAACTTGGAGAAAAACTCAATTTATCAATAAAAATGCCAACCTAAGTTGTACGGAAAGTGTTTTTTTAACCTCACGCCATAGAATTATAGTTCTATGGTAATTTTTTCATTAATAAATAGTATGTTACAAAGAGGAAGGAGAAAAGGGGGGAAATCTAAGAAAGATCTACAAAACAGTAAAAAGGCTACTCAGCCAACTCCTGTTTTTAAAACATGAGCATCATTGGATCAAAATACTTGCTCTTCATGTTAGTTCTGAGGAGATGTAAATTATTCTTTAGAGTATATTCCAGGTCTGGACTGTTGGTGTGGTTTTCCTAAAAACTATGTACGGGGAGTGGTGGAACTGCCACTCTTGCTTTATGTTGATTATGTTGATCTCGTTGATTATGTAGTGTCTCGCAATGCTCGTTTTTGTGGTTCTTTCTAAAGAATATTTATATGATCCCACTGATTCTGTATTACCTTGCGACATCGTCTTAGTGGTTATATTATTTACTATTTACACCCCCCCCCCCACGGACAAATATTTAGTTTCTAATGATGCTCGTTTCGGTGGTTACTTACGTCGATCCCAGCTTAACATTTACCTTGTGTTGATCCCGACATGCTAGTTACTTATTGTACTGATTTATGTCACAAATCTGTGATGTTGTATTGACGCATATTTTGGTTGTCTATACAGTTTTATTATACAATGCTCTTTCCAGATTTCATATTTCTGGTTGAACTGTTTGCTTTGCCTGCATTTGAATGTGCATTTTTTTGCCTAAGTTTGTCTTTTTGGGAGTACATTCGATGTACTCACTTGGCTTGTTGATTTGGCCAGGCCCCGAAGACGATCCCTATGCTTGAGGGGATGTCACTGAGTTCGATGACTACGATGTGTTCCAAGTGTATCAATGTCTGTATTGAGTCTGCTACTGTTATGCTTCCGCTTATTCCATTACCACTCTGATTGAGGCCTTTTATGTACGAATAATGTCTAGGGCCGATGTACTAAGTTCGTCTTTTCAACTTCCTCGCTATTGTTGTAATAATCGAGCTTCTTGGTCATATACCTATAATGTATTTTGGTTTTGTATCTAGTTATTTAGTGAATATGGGGCCCGATGATATGATCTCTAGGCCAGCCCACAACATAATTGGTGGGTGACATGATTGGTAGATGACACAAGGGACCCTGTACTCCTAGAACCTTTATTTTGAAGCCTTCGTCAACACGGACTTAGGATATTGCCAACTATCTGAACCACGGGAAAAACATTCTTGCATCACGAGTGTTTGCATTCTCTTTACCCCCATCTCCTACTTACTTGCTAGTTGTTATTCTTTGCTCTTGGTACTCTTGTTAACTTGCTTGCTAAGTTCTTTGGCATGTATAGTCCTAGTTTTCTTGCTCTCAAAACTGCCAATATTAAAACTG